CTCTAGGCCCAGATGCCAGGAGGCCACATACGTGTGTGTGGCTGCTCAGCCTCTAGGCCCAGACACCGGGAGGCCACACGTGTGTACGGCCGGCGTGAAGGGGTTAATATAGGCAAGGCTTGGCTTTCTTGGTACAAGGTCACTGTTGTGTCTTATGCTGAATCTTGCACAGCAGCAAAATGGCTCCCCACACGCTTCTCTCCCACTCTCCATTCAGCATGGGACCGGTGCAGGGAGGTTTCTGTGTGAACTCAGGCTATGGGGTCACACAGGAGCAGTGGGGGAACTACATGAGATATGGACAGGGAATCACATTCCTGTTCAAATCGCAAGCTATTCTTTGGGGTGCAATCTGCACCTATACATTTCGTATGGATGCAGATTGCACCGCAGAGTATCAGTACTTGGTATCGGTGAGTACTTGACCAAAGGTCTCAGTACTCATACTCACCGATCGAAAAAAAAGGGTCTCGGTGCGACCCTACTGTTAAAGCGGAGCTCCACCCAAAAGGGGAAGTTCTGCTTTAAGTCTTTTTGGGGAGCAGAGGGGGAACCCCAATTTGACAGGTTCCCACTTCAATCACCTAGGCCAGGGGTGGGCAACCTGAGGCTCTCCAGCTGTTGTGGAACTACATTTCCCATGAGGCATTGCAAAGACCAGAGGTTACAAGCATTACTCTACAGGTCCCATGAGACATTGCAAAACTGACAGTTACAGCTAGGACTTGCAGAGGCATGATGGAACTTGTAGTCCTGCAACAGCTGAAGAGCCGACCAGAGTGTTGCCCACCCCTGGCCTAGGTGATCGGAAGCAGAAGTGATCCTCCCCTCTCCCTCCCCATAGCAGGACACGTGACAGGTCCCAGAAGACTATGGGGCCATTCACAAAGTGCAGCGCTTCTCGCACATGCTCAGTGGGCACCTGGCTGTGAAGCCGCAAGCTGTCACAGCCGGGTGACCACACTGAAGATGCCAGCACCTGGAATACAGGATGGCCGGTGAAACGGGCTGCAGGTCCCGGAAGGCGATGGGGCCATTCACAAAGCGCAGCTCTTCTCGCACATGCTCAGTGGGCACCTGGCTGTGAAGCCGCAAGTTGCCACAGCCGGGTGCCCACACTGAAGATGGCAGCACCTGGAATACAGGACGGCCGGTGAAATGGGCTGCAGCGGGGGCACCGCAGGATCGTGGGACAGGTAAGTGGCTGTTTTTTAAAAGTCAGCAGCTACAGTTTTTGTACAGTTTTTGTAGCTGCTGACTTTTGTTTGCAACGTGAGTGGAGCTCCGCTTTAAGGTCACTGTAGAATGAAGTGTTTTTTCAGGATCCCTGAGACCTGAAAACTGCTACAAGGAAACCTCTGGGGGCAAAAAGGTTGAGAAAGGCTGTATATAGACCAGGATAAAAGTCATTTTTTAGGGATTAGTCCGGCTCATCAGCGGAGTGAAAAGTCAGAGACTTCTGACAGTAAATCGCACCCCAACTCCATCGATACGCAGCCACAGAAAACCACACAAACCAATGGCCACCCACACATCTATTCCTATACAATAAACTCCTGCAGTTTATTGATGAATAACGGATACAAACGTCTGTATTAAAAATGGACAAGACAATAAGAAATGGACAAGCAGAAAAAAAAAAAAAAACAGTTAATAAAAAATATATTTTTTTATATTACACTGTTGGCAGAATTTCAAAAATGACCTTAAAGGGAACCTGTCAGGGTAAAAATATGGGAGGCGGCTTTGCCGACCTATCGTGGGACAGTTCGTTCCTTAATGCAGGCCATACATGGGTTGAATTCCGAACTATTTTTTTGTCCGAAAATGTTGTTCGCTCGGTAATCCGACGGCGCCATCAATGATTTCGAAAAAACCGGCCAACCGAGTCATAAAGTTCACCCCATATAACAGGCGAAACGTCTGTTCCTTCCAGGTCACGGCTCGTGCGCGTATTCTTTTTGGAAAAAAAACGATCGTACATTTGACCATCGAGTCGAAAATCAGTCGTTTTTCACGAATTTTGCAACATGCCCGGTCACCAAAAAGGGGAGGAGCCACGAAAATCAGCCGGTGCCATTAAGCCCTCTAACAGAGCGAAAATTGATTATTCTTAGGTCTGATTTTCAAATGAAAAATCGGTGGAATTTCCACCCATGTATGGCCGGCATACGGCCATCATCTTTATCCTTCCTGTAATACTTGGCAAGCCGCTGACCTGAACAATCATGTCCGGATCATGTCCCGATAAGGCCCATTCTTCTTTCGGGTCAGTAACTCTAAGTATGAGGATGGAACAGGCACTTCTTTTAAAAAAAACAAAACAAAAAACCACAGAAAACAGAAGGGCGGCCAGGCGCAGCGCATTCCCATCAACACTTTATTAGAATAGAACAAGCGAGTACATACAAGAGCCAAGGAATACCGGCGTTGTACACGAGACACAATGCTGTTCCAGAAGATGAAACTCAGGTCCCTGACATTTCCAGGGACATGTCCTCTTCTTCGGAGCAGCTGTTTTGGTTCTTCGAAACGCATCGGCGGTGGTGTGACTCACGTCAGGACCTTGTGAGTTCCATCTTCTGGAATACATTGTCTCCTGGGTTGATGGAAGACAGGCAGACCTTGTATGTCCTCACCTGTTTTTATATTCTAATAAAGTGTTGACGCGATACTCTGCGCCTGGGCGCCCTTCTCCCTCCCCATAGTCGTCTGGGACACGTGACAGGTCCCAGAAGACGATGGGGCCATTCACAAAGTGCAGCGCTTCTCGCACATGCTCAGTGGGCACCTGGCTGTGAAGCCGCAAGCTGTCACAGCCGGGTGCCCACACTGAAGATGGCAGCACCTGGAATACAGGACGGCCGGTGAAACGGGCTGCAGGTCCCAGAAGACGATGGGGCCATTCTAATAAAGTGTTGACGTGATACTCTGCGCCTGGGCGCCCTTCTCCCTCCCCATAGTCATCTGGGACACGTGACAGGTCCCAGAAGACGATGGGGCCATTCACAAAGTGCAGCGCTTCTCGCACATGCTCAGTGGGCACCTGGCTGTGAAGCCGCAACCTGTCACAGCCGGGTGCCCACACTGAAGATGGCAGCACCTGGAATACAGGACGGCCGGTGAAACGGGCTGCAGGTCCCAGAAGACGATGGGGCCCATTCACAAAGTGCAGCGCTTCTCGCACATGCTCAGTGGGCACCTGGCTGTGAAGCTGCAAGTTGCCACAGTTATCCAGGGTATCTGAGTTATCCAGGGTTCCCCGATCCCCAGAGGACAGCATTGCTGGAACATTCTCGTCTTGGGAGAGAGCCGACGGCAACCATCAACCACAGTCCGGTCCATTTCTGAAGGATCCCATCCAAGTGTTCTGTTGTGTGAAGACGTCATTAAAACACAAATGAGGAACAGCGGCTTCCTTATTTCTAACCAAACCGCCTCACTGAGGTCAGTTTTGGCACAAAATGTTGGTTTTTCCAGATATTCTGAGTTTTGCTTTGGATACGATGCAGTGTCAGTCTTGCTGATATGCGCATCCAACAAATGAATTTCTCACCGACCACAACTTGCGTATCCACGTGTGAACAGTTATGAAGAGTACATATAGGATGAAGTGTGACCCCCCCCCCCCTCCCCCCACCAGGATGTGTGTCCAGCACTGGTGACCAGTCCTACAATCCATCATATCCTGCAGCCACTTAGGAGACAACATTCTATAAATTATATTCTATAAAAATGTTAGAACTGAAAATCGCAGCTGTTGCTCCTAAAGGCCTAATCAGAACGAGAGAAAGGAAAGTGGGAATGTGGCTGCCGCCATGTGCGATGCCTCGGGCGTGTCTTCCTCCGTTACAAACGCACGCCATAAAGGAGGAGAACGGATCGGCATTTGGAAGGGGAGGATCAGACAAGAGAGAGTTTTTTTTCATCGTCCGCCATCGGTCTTTTATCATAACACCAGTCCGGTTGTGGAAAGGGAATTTTTTCAGTATTTTCGCCCAGTTGCCTTCACCAAGTTCCTTCACTCCGACTTTAATCCATTCCGTCTCCTCTACAGTCCATTTCTGAGAGACAATAGAAGAAAGTCGATCATATTTCAGCATCTCTGCAAACAGCACTCTATATGGAATGGAACGTCAATATACACTGAGGGGCGTTCACACGGGCGTTCCGTTCTGTCATGCTTTTTTATTTTGTCAAAAATCAGAGCTAAACAAATCAAAACTTCACTTTTTACCTCCGTTTACATCCATTTTTGATCCGTTTACATCCATTTTTGATCCGTTTACATCCATTTTTTTGAGCCATTTACATCCATTTTTGATCCAGTCCGTTTATTTTTTTTTTTTTAATGGAAGAAAAAATAGGGTTTCCTTCCATTCAAAAAAAAAAGGGATGTTAATGGGTGCAAACATTAATGGATGCAAACAGATGATCACCCGTTTACATGCGCTAGTCTATAGAAGTACAGGGGGTCCGTTTTACATCTGTAAACGGACATACGGAACACCCGTGTGAAGAGGTCCCTCCCTATATTGCCAAAAGTACATTACATGCAGTTGCCGGGTGAGTACGGGCGAGGCACTTCCCCATTCACCTGAATTACAACATGCTGGATAGTTTTGCTGTAGGCGTGAAGCATCGCGACTGCGACATGTGAGCACCCCTAATAAATTATTTCCAATATAAGTGCAGCGCAACCCAATAGGATCCCTTCTTCTCATACGGTGTATATAACATCTGCATCAAAAATATAGAATACACACTATATTGTCCAAAGTATTGCCCCCCCCCCCCCCCCAAATCCCCCAATCCCCTGCAAATCATGTGATTCAGGTGTTCCAATCCCCTCCCAATAATGTGATTCAGGTGTTCCCATCCCCTCCCAATCAATGTGATTCAGGTGTTCCAATCCCCTCCCAATAATGTGATTCAGGTGTTCCATCCCCTCCCAATCATGTGATTCAGGTGTTCCAATCCCCTCCCAATCATGTGATTCAGGTGTTCCAATCCCCTCCATATCGTGTGACTCAGGTGTTCCAATCCCCTCCATATCGTGTGATTCAGGTGTTCCAATCCCCTCCATAGCGTGTGATTCAGGTGTTCCAATCCCCTCCCAATCATGCGATTCAGGTGTTCCAATCCCCTCCCTATCGTGTGATTCAGGTGTTCCAATCCCCTCCCTATCGTGTGATTCAGGTGTTCCAATCCCCTCCCTATCGTGTGATTCAGGTGTTCCAATCCCCTCCCTATCGTGTGATTCAGGTGTTCCAATCCCCTCCCTATCGTGTGATTCAGGTGTTCCAATCCCCTCCCTATCGTGTGATTCAGGTGTTCCAATCCCCTCCCAGTCATGTGATTCAGGTGTTCCAATCCCCTCCCAGTCATGTGATTCAGGTGTTCCAATCCCTCCCAGTCATGTGATTCAGGTGTTCCAATCCCCTCCATATCATGTGATTCAGGTGTTCCAATCCCCTCCATGGACACAGGTGTATACAATCAAGCCCCTAGGCATGCAGACGGCTTCTACAAACATTGGTGAAAGAATGGGTCGCTCTCAGGAGCTCAGTGACTCCAAGCGTGGTCCCGTGATAGGTGGCCACCTGGGCAATAAGTCCATCCGTGACATTTCCTGGCTACTAAATATTCCACGCTCAACTGTTAGTGGGATTATAACAAAGTGGAAGCCACTGGGAACAACAGCAACTCAGCCACCAAGTGGGAGGCCACGTCACATGACAGGGCAGGGTCAGCGCATGCTGAAGCGCACAGTGCGCAGAAGTCACCAACTGTCTGCAGAGTCAATAGCTAAAGACCTCCAAACTTGGTGTGGCCTTCAGATGAGCCCAAAAACAGTGCGTAGAGAGCTTCATGGAATGGGTTTCCATGGCCGAGCAGCTGCATCCAAGCCTTCCATCACCAAGTGCAATGCAAAGCGTCGGATGCCGTGGTGTAAAGCACGCTGCCACTGGACTCTAAAACAGTGGAGACATGTTCTCTGGAGGGACCAATCATGCTTCTCTGGCAATTCGATGGATGTGTCTGGGTTTGGCGGTTGCCAGGAGAACGGTACTTGTCTGACTGCATTGTGCTAAGTGTAACGTTTGGTGGAGGGGGGATTATGGTGTGGGGCTGTTTTTCAGGGGTTGGGCTTGGCCCCCTAGTTCCAGTGAAGTGAACTCTTAAGGCGACATTTTGGACAATTTCATGCTCCCAACTTTGTGGGAGGAGTTTGGGGATGGCCCCTTCCTGTTCCAACATGACTGCCCACCAGTGCACAAAGCAAGGTCCATAAAGACATGGAGGAGCCAGTTTGGGGTGGAGGAACTTGACTGTCCTGCACAGAGTCCTGACCTCAACCCCATAGAACACCTTTGGGATGAATTAGAGAGGAGACTGCGAGCCAGGCCTCCTCCCCCGACATCAGTGCCTGACCTGACAAATGTGCTTCTGGAATACTCACAGCATAAACCAATCAGCATCGATCGTTGGGCAGACACACAGCACAAGGCGGAGCTCCGTTCTCACACGGGGAAGTGATGGATCTCATGTCCTTGTAAAGCACCTTCACCATAGATTGTAGACTTAACTTTCACACAAACCAATCAGGATACACGTATTGGGATCTTTTTTACCACCAAAATGTAGCAGAATACATTTTTATGCAAACCTTATGAAATTTTTTCTTCGATATGTTTTATAGCAGAAAGCAAAAAAATACTTTTTTTTTTTTTTTAAATTTCAGTCTTCTTTCGTTTGTATCGCAAACAAAAACCCCAGTGGAGATCAAAAACCACCAAAAGAAAGATGTCTGTGTGGGGGAACACAAAAATGATCTAAATTTAGTTTGAGTACAGCGTTGCATGACCGTGCAATTACCAGTTAAAGTAGCACACTGCTGATAAATATGAAAAAAACGTCTGGATGTGGGGGGGGGGTACCATTCTGGAGCTGAAGTGGTTAAACACGCCCCTACATATGGCCACAGAATGGCGCCAGGATCATGCGCTGGGACAGCGAATCACAACATATGTCAATAGAGGGGGAAAGGGGCGGGGTGAGGCGTGCTGGCAGACCGCTGGCCTCCCTTGGACCTTACATTGCCACCCCATCCCATTGTTTTGTAGTTTCCTCTGTATTGGAACCGTTCTTTCTACAAGCCAAGCATGCTGGGCCATTGCCTGACACGTGGGTGTTGCCTGCAGCCTGACAACTACTTACAGTCCAACTTACCTGTTTTCTGATGCCATTGGCTGTCGTGTTGTTGCCGGATCTTGCAGCTTTCTGACCTGTAAAAACAATGACAGGAGCCATTATGCTGGGAAAGAAAACGGTCATCCTTGTGAAGGCATTTCCTGCCAGATTCCTCAATGTGTTGTCTATTTTCTGCCCTCCGTCCTATTGTGTTGAATTTCACGAAGCGATGAAAAATACTGATGATGCCGAGTTAATGGTTGTATGGTCTCTGCTGACGACAGGGACAGGGGAAGCCTTTGATTGGTCGTGATTGCCTGAGCAAGAGTACCCCTTTACCAGGCACCATATGACCAATGCTGAGGGACGAGTAACAGGACACATTGGAGGGGTGCAGAATCAGGAAAAATATAAAAAACCAAAACAGCAGGGAAAACAAATATCATATACCGTATATACTCGAGTATAAGCCGAGTTTTTCAGCACATTTTTTGTGCTGAAAAATGGCCCCCTCGGCTTATACTCGAGTCAACGTCTGCAGATGACATGCCGGCCCTGTCATCTGGACACAACACCCCCCGGATCAATCCTCGCCGCTCCCTCCCTCTCCCATGGTACACACTTACCGTCAGATGTCTTCCTTCTCCGGCTGCTCTCCTCCTCTTCACTCGCTCGATCTTCGCGGTGCCGCTCGGCTCCTCCTCTCCAAGCTCCACCTCCCCTCCCCGCCGGTGATTGGGCACCTGTGTGCCTCTCCTGAGCTACAGTTCCGGCGGCCAATCACCGGCGAGGAGGTGGAGCTTGGAGAGGAGGAAGCCGAGCGGCACCGTGAAGATCGAGCGAGTGAAAGAGGAGGAGAGCAGCCGGAGAAGGAAGACATCTGACCGGTAAGTGTGTATCATGGGAGAGGGAGGGAGCGAG